TAATCTTATTTCGGTATAATTTGTTTGCCATCAAATTGTGACTAGACAAGAACACTACCGTTTAAATTATTCTCTCTTTGATCGTGATATAGTGATTGAAATATATCAGTTCATTCTTTTCCTATTTAGAAAAGTCATCTCCTAAAAGTGTATGGTAAAAACAAGCTATCCAATAGCAAGTTAAGGGCCCTGAATGCCTTCTCAAAGGGCAAAGATTTTGGCGAAATCTCGCATGAACTAAGCACCACAGCTAAAGTGTATACAGTTGATATGTATACCTCCGGTAATATCGTCACTGAGGGCTTATTGGGACTTCTTGGAATCCCTGAGGAGTCATTCGATTGTATATTCCTAAGACTACCTCAGTCCCTAAATTCTCCTTCAACCAAATTTGCTTTGTTCTGGCTTGAGTAATTAGAGAGTCATTAGAGATGCAGCAATGTTTGAATTTTTGTTTTATTGTATGAGAAAAATTCAAACAGTAAGATCTACAACAACAATAGGTGAGAATTTCTAAGAAATCAGTACAGCATACCTCAAGTGTTTCGCATCTTCTTTGAAGCTGAATTCTGTCCCGGCAAAAAATGCAAATCTTTCGTTTTTGTTCTTTGTGTCCGGAACTACTAAATCAGCTTATACCACAGACTGAACTTCTCCTCGGCGTAATTTGTTTGAAACAACTCTTTGATGCTTGCATCTCCATGACCCCGCTCCGAGTGAAACAGCAACAACAAAGCTTCTTGAAGGGCATATGCTATGGTTTGCCGACGATGAAATACTATGAAATTGATTTGTATACGATAAATAACTCTGACAAACTGTAATATATAGATTTCAGAGATATAAGGTAAAGATCTCTGCTTTAGATCTCCAGATTCTCGCCAAAGTAGATTTCCTCGATCGCAATTCCAATATGGCGTCACGCGCGGCTCAACACATTATTACAGCCACAAAACAGCCGCTGAATTGCTGAATGAGGCTTATTTTACAAAGAATTAATTAATACTTAATTATGTACATAAAAGAGAAATTAACACTTATTTACAGTACACTCTGAAATAAACAAAAACACAAACACACATACAAAAGAAAACAAAAAACAGTACAGAAAAAAAGTGTCTAATAAAAGATTACAATTTTAATTACATACACACGAACTTAATTAAAGGGGGCAAATGTCTTTTGGCCATTTTTCATAAAAGGTTTTTAATTTATTGTTCTTGGTGGAAATATATTTTTCAACTTGGTATTTAATTCTTACTTTAAATTTGAAACCTTCGATGTTTTGGAAGCACCTGTTTCTTTCTGCAATCCCATAAATACAATTAACCAATTAACATCAGATAATTTAACAAGGGGCATTTTGACATCGTTATTCCTTATGCCCCTTACGTTCAAAGAAACTAATTTAAATAAATCTGCCGTTTGAGTTGTGTTTTATAAAAATAAATATATTGTTTGGGATTAGTACTTTCCAATGTTTAACAAAGCATTCAAAAAGAGTAAAACAAAAGACATCTTCTCCTCCAACTGAGAAAATAGTAAAACAAAACAGAACACATAGTACATTTACATATAAGCTGACATTAAACAAAATTCTGAACATCTAAGATCAGAATCTCAGATGGGGTTCGCACTTACAAGATTCTTATACGCTCGTGGTAATGTTCGTTCCTTAGTCCATAATAAAATTTAACGACGACCAAAGTAAAATTGGGTTGATTTCTTTCATGAAAAAAGTGTAGAAGATCGTGGATCATGGACAAAACGTCAAGGTGAGCAATGTCCAGCTTAGCCCGTTGGAACGAATCAAAATATCATTTGCCTGCTGTCCGTGTAAACTTAATGTAGAACGGTCGCTGTTATTCTCTTTATTTTTAAAAAAGATAATTTTCAATGTCTGCATGTTAATGGTGTTCTTACATTCAGATGAGTGACCGTGATTGCTAAATATTTACAAAGCGAGACTGTTGCAGATTTGTATTATGTCACGTGCTTTTGTAGCGTGTACGCGTGGATACTAATAAAGTATAAGTTGCATTTTGACTTTTTAGTGGTTTTTACTCCGCTGCTAAGGCCTTGTCAACTCCTCTACCATGTATCATGATTATTGTATTATTGGAGCCTGCATTTCTTTTTTTTGTACTAAGTGGTAGGCCATTACCGGTAACAACATTCTTTGTCTTTTCGAAGCCACCTTGCAGCCACTTTGCAGCGCAGATCGTAATTCGGGAATTTTCTGCACCACTGCCAAAGCGCTGTTTATCGCTGTCAAAGGGCTTTCCACTGCAGCCAAAATTTGCGGCTGCTGCAGCCCAGTGCTTTTACAGCTCTTTTGTAGCGCTTCTTGAAGCCATTCTGCAGCGCTGCTCGTTTCGTACGGGTTACTCCACCGACGTCCACATGTTCATCATCTTCATCCGTTTGCGACCCATTTTCTCTCAGCCTTTTGCTCGGATTCTTGTCCGCTTTGTACTTCCCCATTTCTGGTTATATCTATTTGTAGGTTTCCATGACAGGTACGTTATTAAAGCGTTTAGAACAGCATATCTGGTGGAGCTCACAAAAACACCTCCTACCTCCACGAGGTGCACTGCACAAGTCGTCTCTTGATTGAGTGGCGCATAGAACAATGCTCAAATTTGACCAAGAGACCAAGATAAAGGGCATGGGTAAGAATAAGTCCAAAAAAGGCTTTTTTTTCTATTTTTTCTCAGTTTTTTTCCAAGATTTTTTGTTATTAGCCAATCAGATGCCTCAATTTATTTGAAATTAAAAATTAATAGTTCACAGCTTTTAATTACTTTTACCGATGGCTTGCCTGCCTCTTACACGGACCATTACTTAAATTTATTGACCAGTAATTCAAAGATGTTTCAGGGTTTTATGGTGCAGTAACTTTTTGTATTATTTCTGAGACCTTTTTGAAACATGTAAAATGTCTTTATCACTAATTTAATTTAAATGTATAAAACAAGGACTTTGTTTTTACTTTTCACTGCTTCAGTTTCTTGGCTGTGTAAGAAATTATATTATTCTGACTGGCTATATGGGGGGGGGGGTTCTCCTTTGACAATATGAGGGACATTATTTCTTAAAACTTGCAGTATTTATTGTAACAATTTTTTTCACACAAAATGCCAAAGGTTAGCTGATTATAGCTGACTCAGCACTTTAATAACCTTATGTGATTGTTGACTGATGATTTAAGAGTGCACGTGTTTCAGAGTAGGTAGGTAAAGTCTGCGTTCTATCTAAGAGGCCCATCAGGCTGGAGCTTATCCTGATTTCAGTAGCATGAAGCGACTAGGAGTATTTCTGCTCCCTCCAGGATGGGGTGCTAGTCCATTGCAGGGTGACCCCAGCAGTGAATTTGCCAATACCCATTTATACACCTGGGTGAAGAGAGGCACTGTGAGAGTAAAGTGTCTTACTTAAGAACACAACGCAGTGCCCTGGCTGAGGCTTGAACCCGGGCCGCTCAACCCGGAGTCCAGCACACTAACCATTAGGCCACCACAACTCCTAGGGAGAAACAGAGAATAACTGTTAATTATTATGAGCCCAGTACAATCTAATGGAAAACTTTACACTTAGGGGTTATGGATACAAACATAAATTAATTTTAAAATGTAAGTAATCCACCTTTTATTAAAGGTGAGACATAAGAGTTATACTTTCATTATTTTATAGTGCAAAAAAATCCAAGCTGGTAGCCCCTGTGTCTGGTGTTGATTCGCACCCTATTATCCAGAGCCTCAAGAAAGTACAAGAGTTTCTAGCAAAGAATGATGATAAAGAGTATCATAGATTTTACAATGCAGGGTATCTTATGGAGCACAAATACACTCCAAAGTCTCTCCAACCAAAGGTACTGTCGTTATAGTTCTTTGCACTCCAACCATAGAGCTTTTTCACTCATCTGACAGGCAGCCATTTTGGTTTACTGAAACAGAAGACTAACTTAGTATCGGAGCACTGGTGGCCTTCCATGCGGAGCCCCATACCTATAGAACCTATGAATTTATTTTTGTATGGTCATCTTCGTCAGCGGTAAATGGCTTTTGGGCGTGTACGTAGGACAACGACAACGTCACACAATATGGTGCCCATACTTGTCAACTTATTCATTGCATACATCTATGCAATTTGATATTGGAGGTCCATTTTATGGTCAATTGAAAGCTGTCAAATCAAGGTATCCGCTGACCAGTACCACATGACCATATTGCGGGCTTAGGTTGGAACTCATCGAGGTTAACTGTTTTTTTTTTTAAGTTGACTACTGACCAGGTTATGGATTTTTATTGAATCACAGGCTCAAGTATTCCCCAAATTATAAGAACAAGCCAAACAACCGGTGCTCCTCTTTTAGGCTTGGCTAAATCTATAGATGGTTTTCACAGTGATGTCATCAAATTGTAAAGTCAAAATAGCGAGGTTTTAGGAATTCTTATTTACACTAGGTTATAGATAAACAAAAAGCAAATCTTTGTACAAGTTTCCATTCCCCTAGCATGTTTCGTTTGGAAAATACAGCAATTTGAACTTCCAAGTTTTCACTGTGCGTGACACCAAAGTAGGAATGCTGTCTCGCTGAAAAAAAGTCTCTCCTCTTGATTTTCAGCAGCATAACCATTTCAACTATTAGAAGATTTATGTTTATGCGCACGTATGCTAGTTCTGGAGTGAAAAGAAAGAGCTTTTATAGAAAAAGTGAACTCCAGATGTTTTTGTTGATTTCTGGCAGCCATATTGGTGCACTAAAACAGTGCACCAATATGGCGTCTCCATACAAAGCTCTACAAAGGTACGTGAAACGTTTCGGCAAATAACTCAGAAACTGTGAGCCACAAAGACCTGACACTTGGACAAATTGTTTATTATTAGTCTTTTATAACATTTCATTTTCTTGGCTTCTTCCACTGAACGGTTTTCAATATAATTTTTTGTTGCGTGACAGTGAAAACCATCTATATATTATTGAATTAGAGTCCATTTTCTAGAGGAGTTGGTTTGCTTGGGGGTGTTAAGGGGGGGCACTTCCTAGTAATGGCTTACTGGGGATGTACCCCTCAGGCTGGATGGGGTTGCATTTTCATGACTGGATCAACTAAAATGGGGTTGCATTTTCAGGCATTTTTTAATGGAGTCACACATCTTTGGAATTTTGGGAGTAAGAAAATTCTGACAAGTGGGAACAGGAACATAAGTGGTAAAAAATTTGTTGCCATATTTAGCGCTGCTGTTTACGTATTTAACAAACGGCTCCCATAACAATCTGGTCTTGCCCAAAAATGACTATTCCACACCTGTCAGAGAGCAATTAAAGAAGCTGAAAACACCTCTCAGTTTTTAGGGAGCTGCATGGATTTTAACCAGTGATTTGAGTTAGAACACCTGTTATAGGCACCGGAACTCCAGTAAGTACTCTCATCTGCCAAATTGCTGGAACAGATTATCGAAGAATTTTTTTGCCACTTTTCAAATTTGTTTGTATATTGGATAAGATGGTCGGATCCTGGTATCAAGGACTGTCTTTTACTTCATTGACATCACCTACTGAACTTATGGCAAAGTCTGTAAGCAGGACTCTAGGCTAACTAGCATCACCCAGGTGCCACAGGCAACTAAATTTTGCTATAGGCACCCTGTTATTTTTCCAAGACCAATTGCTTAATCATTGTATGACATTCCTCCTTTTCCTTTATGTTCAGAACCTGAAGGGCAAAGATGCATTTGTCTATCAACTACTTTCTGAAGCAAAGTTTGAAGTAAAACTATCAGCCATCGATGTCCGTGTTGATGGATGTGGAAATGATGATGATGGAGACGATGATCTTTGTGACATTGATCTTGATTTGATGGATGAAATTGGAGGCGGGGTGCATTTCTCAGAACTTGATCTGGCCACTGCCATTGAGAAGGGAGCCAGCTGGTCCAAAACGCCATCTAGGTACCTACTGACTCTAGCAATGATAATGATCACGAACATAACAACTTCAGCCACGATGGCAACGATTATTAGTATTATTATTATTGTTATTATTATTATTATGCACAACAACTTAACCAATTTATTAGTAGATATTGAAAGCAGTGAATGAATTTGTTAGTACTTACAGGGACGGAAACTTAAGGCAATCGCGCTAATTGTTTCTGCGCATCCCTACTGCGCACGTCATGCATCAAGCTTGTGCGCTGAGAAAACTGTCTAAGCACATATAGGGCTGGTAGCCGCTGCGGTAACTTCGCTTGCAATTTACTTTCTCAAATGGTCGGTGATACCCCATTTTTTTTCGGTAGACCACTTTCTCTTCCACTTTCCGATAGATTGTGAAAAAACAACAATCAATGTGGGACAGTAAAAAAATTCCAATTTTTCTGTGTACGCGGCGTCGAATTTTGGTGTTCATGCGGCTGTTAGGAGAGTAGAAATGTGTCTGCTAAATGATAAAATCAACTCTGAGGAAGTTTTTTACTTCACCGAATTTTGTTTATGCAACCACAAGAACAATAATTGGGAGGTAAAATTTCAATTCAGGGATTTATTTGTAAACTTTTTGCACAAACAGGCACTTTATCCGTATGCAGTAACGAAGCCCAATTTCTCAGATTTTGGGTGATCTTTTAAACATCGAAACAAATTTGGTGACCCCCCAATTTTTTTACATTTTGGACATGAGTAACCCATAATCTCAACTCTAAGAAGATTTTTGTGCGAACATCCTTAATTTTGACAGCACTTGCCATTAGGCAAGTGCCATTAATAGATGCAACCAAAAGGCTAAGATTTGTACTCGCCCAAGTAGTATTGACACTTGAGTGGGTGAGTGCTAATTTCCAACCCTGACTTATTGTTGTTTCACTTACAACAAGTACAATGATTTTGAGTGCATACGGCAAGACAAAATGGGTAGTTGCAGTTACAGAGGTGTCAACTATAAGAAGGTCTGTTTCAGAAGAAAAACAAAATTCTTTGAGAAATCTGAAGATTTTGCCAGGAATTGGGATACTTGGGGAATTTTGGGAGAGTCATGACGTAATTAAGTCAAACATTTGGGAAATTTTAGATTTTTTGAGAATATCTCCAAAAATGTGGGACAATATTAGAGATTTTCAGGATAACTTTTTTTTGCATGTGGTACTGCTCAAGCAGCATTTATTAGAGCTGTCCCCCATTAGTTACGATCTGATATGTAAGAAAGACATTCTGTATCTTAAAATAACCACTGAATAGTCAATAATAAATTATGTTGCTATCTTTCAGGCCTATGGATTATGTACACTGGCTTGTCAATGATATCAGAAAATATGCCCACTCCTTGAAGAAAGTCGACAGCCAAATCCGTGGCACTGGTAACGAGGGATCTGACTGGCATACCACCTACATGACATCAGCTCTTGTAGTCCAGCTTTGCAAAGACCCTAAGATAGGCACAAAGAGAAAGTTTTCCCTGGAGCATACCCACCGTCCGTACCCCTACTGTGGACCTTAAATCACTGCTGTGGATATTGGCTCTTGTAGCCCATTCTTTTGTAATGGATTTGAGTGCAAAGAATCCACTTATAACTGCATTTTCAATTTTTCTTGTTTATAGCATACTTTGAATTACAGTGCAACTACTGTTACTGGAGCAGCCAGACAAAGTTGACCAATTACAAAGCAGAATGGAAACAATAGATTCCAACATTTTTTTCTTTAGCCAATGAAAATGTTAAGAACAGAACAATGAAATTTCAAAAGAAAAACTGTTGGTTTTGATTGTTTCTCTTCTGCTTTGTGATTGGTTAACCTTGTCTTGGTGGCCATGGTAACAGTGGTCCCACTGTAGAGCATTAGCTACAGTTTTATAAAGGTTTTAATGCATGATACAATAAACCTGGTTATATTTATTTTTTAACAAAAGTAAATAAAGAGCCTTTCTTTATAATAGTATTTCAATCTACAGTGTGTTTCTTTTCTTGGCTTTTTAATGAATTTTTCTTTCTGCCCATTTTTTGTAAAAAAATCTTGAGTTAGATCTTTGCCGTGTAAAGGAAGGGGAAATTTCTAAAGGACTTTTTTCATGATAGATTTGATTGATCAGTTGAATTGTTCTTTTAAGGTGGTGAAAGACGAGATACAAAAACCCTCAGCCTGTCACGCAGCATTGTTTTGTTGCCAGTATTGGGTTGATGTTTCATGTTTTTCACCTAGCGTGATCAACTTGTTGCAAAACAAAAACATTTGTTGTAAGTTGAAGAAAGTTGTTGCGAGAGGCGGAGTGCGGGTCTACTTTGTCTTTCTTTGTAAAGTGGGCTGAAAAATTTTCTCCCCGCGTCGGTCTTAAAATTAAGGTGGTACCCAGGGCCCTCCCGTAGATAAGGGAGGAAGTTATCAACACCCTGAAAACTGCACCCTTCCGACTCAACTGAGCCGCTCAGATAAGGGAACCCTGTTAGAACAACCTCATTACCCTCGAAATTACCTTCGGATCAAGTCTTTTAAGACATTAAAATATCTGCGCGGTATATGTTCAAAATTCTGTTCGCTGTGGTTCTCACAGTGTTTTCCCGTCCCATTTCGTGGTATTACCATGACAGTGCTATAGCATCTGTCAAAAGTCGCAGGACTTGTGTTTTACATCAAAATTATTATATGGGTGCGATGGGACGCGCGCTCTGATTGGTTAATTAGCGGTTCGTAATCCCCGGTAAACGCCCACGGGCATTACAGATTTTTTTCCCGCCACGGTTTTTGTTTACAAAACCTAACGAACTTAGTTACTTTTGCTGAAAGAAACTTTGTTAAAAATCAAGAAATTGAACAAAACACATATCTTTTTTAGCTATGAGTTCTGAAGATTTCTTTTCTGAATTTTATTATCCTGACGAAATTGTGACGGAAATGAAGGCAATGTAGAAGTTCTCTCTCTTTAGCGTGCTTTGCCTATCTGAAGCCACGTAATAAACAACTTAATAACCTTGTTTGCTCTGACTTTACTGTAAAACTCCAGAATTCGGGCTGAAATTTTTGATTTATGGACCTCGCCCAGAGGTGTCGAGGGTCCGTGCACACTTCGGCCAATCTATTTTTTCATTTTTCCAACAAAAACGGAAAAAGGACATATTACTTATCCTTATCATATTTCCATATTTCAAAGTACAGAAAAAAAGAGAAAAAAAGAAAATGGTCAGTAAAATCGATCATTTTTCAATTTTTTTAATTTAGAAGTTAAATTTAAAAATACAAAAATACTGTTAACGGCTAAAAGCGATATTTTGCTATTTGTATTTTCTTGATATTGTTAGACAAGTGAGGAAAATAAAATAATCTCCGAGTCCTAGATCATTTTTCTATTTTTCCGTTTTTCCCAAAAGATAGAAAAACAGAAAAATGAAAAAATCATATTTATTCGCACCATTTTTTCATTTTTTCCATTTTGTTCAAAAAATGAACAAATAGAAAAATGGCATACCTATCGCCTAATTTTCCATAATTCCATTTTAACAAGAAAAATGAAAAAAATGACAAGTGTTGCGAACAATTTTTCCATTTTTTCAATAAATAGAAAACAAACAAACAATTTTTCATCTTTTGTTTCAATGAAAAATAGCAAAGAAAAATGACAAATCATGAACATTTACTAATAAAGACAAGAAAAACCTAATCCGTTTTAGACTTTCTAGTTTTGTTAGACGATTTACACAGGTTCGGCGGAGACGTGGGATGGGGAGGGCGGGTGGGGGCCCTTTAGTTCTCGGAATGCGTACGTAGTTTCATTCACTTTTGGATTTGATTAGCTGATTCCTTTACCTCATTACTTAGGACTCACTCTGTGACCTGTTCTAACACTGCTTCATCGTAAAGTGTTCCTGTTGCATTTAAACTGTGGAACGTTACCCCATACTTGGTCTTTGCTCTCGTCTTTCCAGGGCTGAGTTGCTTAAAAGGTGGATAACGCTATCCGCTGGATAAATAACTATCCACAGTGGATAACGCAATTAGTTTCCCTAAAATACATGAAGAATTATCAGGCCGCTGGATAGTGATTTATCCGGTGGATCGTCGCTATCCAACGTTTAAACACATGTATGAGCAAATGTATGGGCCAGAGGCGTTAAGATGTTCTTTCCAGCGAGTGTATACTAGGCGCCTCGTCATTTTTCTCCTCCATGATAGTAATTCAATATACTTTACTCTTGCAATCCTAAAACACCCGTTCTGCGGCAAGATCCGTTATTTCGGCAGGCTAAGCAGTCTACTTTTGAGCAACTATTTAATTTAAAAACGTCTGACCTCTTCACTGGCGCGCTCTTTATTTATTTTGTGCATGTGACGTCCAACGACCTTCTTGTTTTCCCCTTAATCTCTCTCACGAACCGCTTTTTTTGTGCTGGGACCATAGTGTTGCTGGCATGAAAACCGTTGAGTTACCCCCCCCCCTTTTCCCGTACCAATTATCACACCTTCTCCTCCTCCCTCATACCCTTTCTCATATTCTTCATTTCCACGACCGGTACGGTACGGTTTTCCCGCCGCTTTCATCTACAGTCGACTCCCGACAACTCAAACCTTCAGGGGAAATCGAGATCAAAAGAGAATGGAACTACGTCCGCATCTCGAAAAGTAAGCTATTCGCGGGAAAATCGTTTCCCCCCCCCGATCACGCTCTAAGTACCAAGAGGGTAGGACCCAAGTGTAGAAGTGCCCCCCCCAAATTCCCCCACATCTCCGCCGACCCTGTGTAAATCTTCTAACCAAATTAGCGAGTCGATAGTGGATACGAATTAGGTTTTTCCTTTTTTCACCGTTAAAATATTCATAATTTCTCACTTTTCTGCGCCATTTTTCAATAAAATAAAAAATGAAAACCTGTCTGAAAGGGTGTATCGTTAAAGTTTTTCTATTTATCCAAAAAAAAAAGGAAAAATTGAAAATTGCTCGCAACGCTTATCATATTTTCATTTTTTCTTGTTAAAATGAAATTATGGAAAAAATTAGGCGATAGGTATGACCCACGGGACGATATATTTTTTTTTTTTTCATTTTTTTGAACAAAATGGAAAAAAAATGAAAAATGTAGAATATTTTTTTTTTTTCCCTCGACGACCCTCGACGGTCCGTGCACACTTCGGCCAATCTAATTTTCTATTTTTCCAACAAAAACGGAAAAAGGTAATATTACTTATCGTTATCATATTTACATATTTTAAAGTACATTGACCAATTCTTCGTCCAAAACAAAAAAAAATAAAAAAAGAAAATGGTCAGGAAAATTGATCATTTTTTCATTTTCCTAATTTTGAAGTCCGCTTCAAAAATTCGGAAAAAAATACTGTAAACGGCTAAAAGCGATATTTTGCTATTTTTATTTTCTAATTTTTGCTATTGTTAAAAAATGAGCTAAAAAAAAATGAAATAATCTCCGATTCTTAACTCATTTTTCTATTTTTTTCCGTTTTTCGCAAAAAAATAGAAAAACGGAAAAATGAAAAAAATCATATTTATTTGCACCATTTTTTTTCATTTTTTCCATTTTGTTCAAAAAAATGAAAAATAGAAAAATAGCATACCTATCGCCTAATTTTCCATAATTCCATTTTAACAAGAAAAATGAAAATATGATAAGTGTTCCGAGCAATTTTCCATTTTTCCTTTTTTTTTTGGATAAATGGAAAAACTTTAACGATACACCCATTCAGACAGTTTTTCATTTTTTATTTTATTGAAAAATGGCGCAGAAAAATGAGAAGTTATGAATATTTTAACGATGAAGAAAGGAAAAACCTAATTCGCATCCACTATCGACTCGCTAATTTGGTTAGAAGACTTACACAGGGTCGGCGGAGATGTGGAGGAATTGGCGGGGGGGGGGTGGCTTAGTTTTCGAGATGCGGACGTAGTTCGTGGAAATGAAGAATATGAGAAAGGGTACGAGGGAGAAGGAGAAGGTGTGATAATTGGTACGGGAAAAGGGGGGGGGGGGAACTCAACGGTTTTCATGCCAGCAACACTATGGTCCCAGCACAAAAAAAGCGGTTCGTGAGAGAGATTAAGGGGAAAACAACGAGGTCGTTGGACACAAAATAAAGAAAGAACACGCAAGTGAAGAGGTCAGACGCTTTTTAATGAAATAGATGCTGAAAAGTAGACTGCTTAGCCTGCCGAAATAACGGATCTTGCCGCAGAACGGGTGTTTTAGGATTGCAAGAGTAAAGTATATTGAATTATTATTATGGAGGAGAAACATAATGAGGCGCCTAGTATACACTCGCTGGAAAGAACATCTTAATGCTCTGGCCCATACATTTGATCATACATTTTTTTAAACGTTGGATAGCGACGATCCACCGGATAAATCACTATCCAGCGTCCTGATAATTTTTTATGTATTTTAGGGAAACCAATTGCGTTAATCACTTTATAGTTATTTATCCAGCGGATAGCGTTAACCACCTTTTAAGCAACTCAGCCCTGGAAAGACGAGAGCAAAGACCAAGTATGGGGTAACGTTCCACAGTTTAAATGCAACAGGAACACTTTATGGTGACGCAGTGTTAGAACAGGTCACAGAGTGAGTCCTAAGTAATGAGGTAAAGGAATCAGCTAATCAAATCCAAAAGTGAATGAAACTACGTTCTCATTCCGAGAACTAAAGGCCC